CTACTTTCTGCAGCACTAAGAGACTCCTTAGCAGCCATTCCAGGCTCATGTTCAGGACCTGTCAGTAACTGCATGGAGCAATCATCCCCACTCCACACACACCAGAAGATTAGGGTGACAATTCAATGCTCTGCAGCAGACAGGAAAAGCTGGTGGGACAGGGAGAAGCCAGGGCTGCTAAAGCTACACGAAGGCAATTTTTCATTCATACTTCCTATTTCTGAGGGGACTCTGTGGATTTGCTCCTGAGCTCAGTGTAAGCCTCAAGCCTTTCCAAGTTACGTTCATCCCTAAATAAGAATGTTTTTTGCAAAACTGAAGCAAGTTAAGCTTCTTCTTCTGGAAAACAGTGCTGGTACAAATGCTTCCCCCTGGATGACCCCCCAGTCCCAATTCCTCCATCCCCATTCAACTCCTAAGGGGCTACACAGTGACACTGAAATCTGTTAGGCTGATAGGAGCTAAACCAATACATTTTCATTTATAGAGTTTTAGTTGATTTTTATTTGATTTTAAGCAAAGTTGACCTTTTAGCTGCCTGACAAAGCTCTCTCGATACACAATCCCCACTCCCCACACATGCCACTAACATTTCCTCGGTGTTCCTTTTGCTCACATGAGCAATTTTTTTTGTCCTAAAAATCTTCATCCATGTAATTACCATACAATAATTTAAAATCAAGAACTGACAATTGTTAGCACTTTTGTTCTCTTTTTTAATGAATTAGTTCCCTTAAGAAGTGAATCTAGTGTCTCCACAATGGCAGTCGGGATCTTATTTTTTGGAAATACTGAACTGATTCATCCATTTATTTTATCAGTAGGAGACATACTGTAATGACAAACATACACATATCATATCAAGCTTCTATTGAACTTTAATATTGTAGATACTGGTGTTTACAGTTTGGAACTGTCCCATATTAATAAATTCAATATGAGTAGCTTATCTAAAATCTACACATTACACTTTAGAGTACCTGTTATGAGAATGACAATGATTTAAGTCATGTGTCAGAGTATTTGTCAGCTTGAGGACATTTTGAAGGCTTCAAGTAGTCTATTAAGGATGTACTTCCCTACAGAAATCTACGTAGCTTGCCTGGATTTTACAGAAAGCTCTGGGTTTATTCTAATAGCAGCACTCATAATCTTCTGAATATACTTTCAAATGCATTGATTAATGTAGTGGTTTTCAAGTATCTTGTAAAATAGCCACAGTGACATCTCGTCTGACTTGTGAAAAATTTGTCTCACTAGGAAAACTAAATTATTTTCCCATGTTGCTGGACGTGAAGATGCTCATGTTCCTTTTAGGAGCAGCCAGCTCAAGATAGGAGGAGGATGCATGGAATGTGAAAGAGCACTGCCTTGAAAAAAACACAACTCACGTTCATCTTCTCTTTAAATGGAGGATCTGAGTATTTTTTCCTGAATTCAGTGTTCTCTCAAACCAATAACTTTCTTGGCCCCTGATGGCTGTCTGTAGCGTTCTGCTGAAAGTTTTACATGCAAGTGGTTCCTATATATCATTCTCTCAATTGCACTCTTTGAATTTCACTTTCATATTGAATTTCATAGATGATTTCCTTTCTCTTTGACTACTACCTCCTGAGAAATATTTCCATGAATGAAAATAAGGGGTAGATATTACTCAGGTGTGGGTTCAGGGGGAACCCACATGAAATGTTGTGAAACCCACAGCACGAGATGTTCACAACCATCTTAGCAAACACTTTCAATAATGACCTATAAGAGGGAGAGAACAATGTGGACAGAAGGTGCAAGCTGCAATGAAAATGCAAAAATATAAAGCTCCCTTGAGCAGTTAGAAATGCACACAAAGAAAAAAGCAGCAAAACACATCACATAAGATTACATGAAATTATAAATTCATTCTGAAGAAGGGAGTAAAGATTCATTGTCAGCTGACTCTTCCAAGGGGCTTTAAGTGATGCCACAGGTGCAAAGCAATATTTACTTCACTTGTGTAGTTCTGCTGCAGAACTCCCTGCCATGGGATGTTAAGGTATTTATATGTGTTCAATATCCCAAGAAGCTGTCACATTGCTCGATAAGTATCACTAGACAGCTGCCCTGCTCTCACACCCTTCTCTAACATCCACCGCTTGCCAGTGTTAGAGCTGGTAGGTTCTTATGCTTGTTAGCCAAAGCTAATCAAATGCCATACAAAACCAGAAGCCTGGAGGAAAAAACCTGGAGATTAAAAAAAAAAAAACAAAAAACAAACACCTGTTTTAAAAAATCTTGAAGTGACTGAACTTGATAAAGAGAAATAAAGAGATAAGGAAGCAATTAGCAAATAGACCAGTGCTAATTTGAGGCTGTTTCTGTCAGGAATCAGAAGTGCAGCTGAACTGGTGAGAACACAACCAGTATGCAGCTGTAGGGATGTGGTCCCTTACCTCTAGGAAGACTAACAGGCAGAATGGGCTTCACAGAAGATCAAGCATATGATTAAGAGACCAGTGTGTGATTTATGAAGAGTAATTTAATAAAAAATCTTCACAGCTTGCTTAAGATATGATGAAAACCAAAAGTGACAGCCAGGAGAAGAAATAACTCAGATTTATTTAAAGACTGTGAACATCATAACAAGGGAGAAAGAGTAAGCCTCATAAAGAAGGGGCTAAAGCTGAAAAGAAACACGAGGTGAAATATCAAGAGGCATGACCAAGGCTGGGAATTATCTTGTCATGGCTTGTGACTCAAAGAAAAAGCATGGACAAGGAAACTTCATCAAATATATGGTAAGGGACAATTGGGTGTTGACCCCTTGGAAAGACCAGTGGGCACTAACACCTCTCCCCCTGTCTTCAGTGCTCAGGACTTCTAAGTGACACTGATGCCCACCCTGGCACGCTGCTCATGCTCTCACACAACAGATGCCAAGGAACTTCTGCTGTTCCTTATGAGTTGTCCTTTCATGATGAGTGATTTCTCCTGGAATACTTGTGCTATTAGCAACACCTGATGTTCACAACAACCACACCATGGGGTGCTTCTGCTGTCCAAGTCTAACTGGATATCTGAGAGAGTGAGGCCACAGTAAGGAGCCCTCCTAGACTTAAAAACTCTGCAGTATAGGAAGAGTTGGTAGCTGTTTTATCAGACAGCTGCAGAGTGACATGCTGGCAGATCAAGTCAGTGAGTGCTGAAAAGAGTTACCCACTACTTCACTTCCAAATCAGATAAAACTGAGTCTCAGAATTAGAAGGATGCTGCAGATGCTGAAGCAGTACATGCAGTGCCCAGTTCTGCACTGTCTTCCTACAGGATAAATGGTGCCTCTGCAGTTCAATATATACTGTACCACTAGATAAACCTCTTCCTTGAAAAGGCCCTTTATGGGAAATCGAAGGATCTTCTTTCCAGCCCAGCATCAGATGGTGGGTGCAGAAAATTCTAAACTCCCAACAGGTTTCTCCCCTCTTGACAGGGTCTCACATGGAGAAATTACTCTCCATCCAGCCTGCTCTCTCTAGAGACAAAGAATCAGGGTCTGTTGCTCAGAGCAAAATCCTAATGTGTCAGGTAGGATATGAAATGATGGGACATTATTTCTTGAGACAGCTGGAAATTCTGTGAGCACAAAATCTACTGGCTGTTAGGCCAGCAGGAGTACTGCCAGCAAAGCAGGCTAAGAAGCACAACTTGCTTTTATAAAATTGTCACTCTTGATTGAGCACATGAATGAAGGCAGTGAGGGGGTCTCAGGACTGAGGGGAAAAGGGCTGTACTTTTGTTTGGGAGGATCTCCCCTGTCCAGGAGCATGGTCATGCCTCAGCAGCTTCCACCATCAGCATAATCATGCTCAGTGCCCTGTGAGCTGCTTTCTAAATCCTTGAGGAAGCAGCCTCATGAGCCATCTCTTTAGCAAAGAAAGAGCACAGGCTAAAGGAACAGACCAGGTGTACCTGTGAAGGGACTGAGCAGAAGGAGGAATCAGAGAAACCAGGACCCTCAGAACGCCACGTAGCACTCAAGCCAGTGTCTCTTGCAGCCGCTGCAAGTGTTCAGGGACCAGGCCAGTTTAACTGGCAGCCAGCCAAGAAACATCACCTGCACCAGCAAACATGGTTTCAGGACTTGGCCATTACATCCCTGTGCCTTGAGAAGCAACTTTATGGGACCAAAGCATGTGGAGGAGGGAGGTAGTAGAAGCTGCTGTCATCCACCCTTGTGAACTTCATGTTTGGTCTCTTCAAGCCTGTTGTGCCTCCTATACTGTACGCAGCACCCGTAAGTCTTCTTCAGCTTTTGGGCTGTAATGATCACTTGCAAAGGGCTGTCAGGCATGCTGAAGACTGGTGCTGGCATGGCCCTGCAGCTCAGGCTTCTCCTTACTGCAGGAGGATTCACCACACAGTGGCAATACTCCACACAGCCTGGTTCTACCTCCCCATGCCAAACCAGGACTGGCATGCAATTCAACCTCAAGCATTAAAAATCATTTAAAAAAACCAAACCAAACCAAACCAAACAAACAAACAAAAACACCAGGGAATCTTCTCTTGAGGAGGCAAACACAGTGAATGTGCAGAAAGGGTGCAAACACCTCACTGGGACTCATTCCCACACTGTGAGCCTAGCTGCCTTCAACATCCCTGTGCATCCTTCTATGCCCAAAGGAGCAGAGATGAGCTCTTCCCACCCAGAACTGGTCTCTGGGAGGCTCTTTTCTAGCCTAATCCACCAGGACCTAAAACACTGCAATCCTTCCTTGTATACCAGTTCCCCTTCAGTGATTTAGAACTCCCTCTGTTAAACACACCACGTACAACACATCTTGACATACCAGCACCGAACACAAATCTGACAAGAACAGCTGATCCTCCTCATGGAGAGCAGGGGAGCAGACAGCTTGGGGAGGTTTGTTCAGAGCAAGGGCAACCTTCCCGTGCCACTATCTCTTCTTCAGGGAGGGATGAACATGGCTGAGAGGGGTAGAATAAGGGGGTTCCAGAGATATGATTACCTGTATCCTGTCTTCTGGCAACTCTGTTTTCATGGCCAACATCTCTCTAGCGTATACATCAGGATAGTGGGCCTCATTGAAGGCCTTTTCCAGCTCCTCCAGTTGGTAGGATGTGAAGATTGTCCTGAGGGGAGCAAAACTCTTTGATCAAAAAACATAAGAAGAAGAAGAAGCAAAGATGATGAAGAGTCAGAGACATGGACACAAGCTACAGAAACCTGGGCAACCTGATAATGCATAGCTTTTCCACCCCATCTCCTGTATTTCTGTGCACAAAAGGTCAAGTGCCAGGGTGAAAGGAGAAAAGGAAAATGCCAGAAGACAGCACTTCAAACGATTACAAATCACCTTCCCTTTAGGGACTTCCCTCTGGAAAAAATCCCTCCACAGCAGCAAGCACCCACAACCAGCATTGATGGCACCTGCTTTTACATCTCAGACCCTGCTCTCTTTTATGGGGATCCTGGGGATGTCCCTGTCCCTCACTCTTCCTCTGACAGAAGAGCGAATTCACCCCTGACCTGCCTTAAAACCACCACCCCCCTCCTCTTGCATCCAGAGGTTTCTTAACCCATTGATAGTCACGCTGAGATAAAGCAGCATTCCCTCAGCACCCCAGCTGGAGTGGTGCTGAGCCCTTCCCCAGCTGCTGGTCCTTAGCCTCTCCAATCGCCAGGAGCAAATAATCCTCCCCTGGAGCCCCGGTCCTCGGCTGAATTCTCCGAAGGTTTTATCGACTCTGCTCCTCACTGCTTTTTACCAGTCCTTCCCTACCAGAGCCAGTGCCAGCTCCCTTCCTTTACCCAGGTTGCTGATATCCTGTTAGTTGATCCCTGCCAGTTTCTATTACCCCATTATCCCCTGGAAATCCTCCTGGACCGCCCTGGGCGGGCAGCAGCCCAACCCGCCTCTGTGCAGCCAGTGCTCAGCTCGGGACCACCAGATTGAAAAATCAGCAGCTGGAAAGCTGAGACGGATGAAAGCCTTTCTCCAGGGGGTGGATGAGAGATCTCGGGCCACTTCCACTCCCCCGAGAGTTAAAACTCACACCTTCCAACGCCCTTGGTACACAAAACGCAATTTTTTAATTAAAAAAAACCCCAACACTCCGATGGCAAAAAAAAAAATCCCCAAAACAATAAACCAAAACAAAAAATCAAACCCACCAAAACAAAACGTTGCAGCCTTTGTTCGAAGAAAATAGATAAATATATTATCAAACTAAGAAACGTGTAGCTGGCAGAAGGGGGAACGAAAGAGGGGGGGAAGTATTTTTCTAAAATTCACCCGAATTTCAGAACAGCCCTACAATTCCAGAAAGCCTAAACAGAAAGTCTCAGAAATACCCTTCGCTATCCAGAATCAAAAGGATTCCACCAAATCGATAACATTACTAACAAAAGCAGCATGCAAATGCAAGAGACCTGCCTGCAATCAGACCTTTCTTCATTCATTCCTAAACCCATTTTCTTTTCCAACAGTTTTCCTTCAGCTCCGACAAATCTGTTAACTCCCGGGACGGCAGAGGCACGGTTAACTCGGATGGTTTTTTCTCCCTGGTGCCACAGGGGAAAAAAAATCCGATTTTGATACAATTTAGATTTCAAGCACTGTGCTCCACCCTCCTCTGACCGGGGTGCCGAAGCCCAGCAAGGTTCACCGGCAGGAGGGTTTTGCCCAACATTCACCGAAGTTTTCCCCTTTTAGCTCTCGTCCCTGGGTAGCTCCTTCTCTTTTGCAAATACACTCTCCCTTTTGGTGCTTTTATCCAGCAGACTGTTGGCCTGTCAGCTCCCAGCCCGTTCCTGGTACAACCAGAGGTCTTAACCATTTAGTACACAACATACAACTGTGACTAAATCTTGCAGGTTGATTTCTGTTGAAAACTGAAAATAAAACGAAACTGAATTTCATTTCCGCTCTCTCCTGCCCCGACTGTGACCTGTACACAAGCCCTTGCCGTGTTTTCACCCAGCCCTGTCCGGTTCACAAAGAAAACGAACCCGTATTCACTCCAGCGCACGCAAACTGGGAGCACTTGCCTGGGGAGTGACCCGAGGTTTGGGATGAGTCCTCCAGACCAAGCCTCCTATTGCACAAATAGCAGCATTTCTCCTGGGACCTTCCAAGAGAAGGTCGGTCTCCTTCCACCCACATCCTACTAAGCTTTCACTGGGGCATCTTTTAATCCACCCTTCTTGCATCGTGCCGGGATTGATTTAATTATTCCTAAATCATCCTTAGTGGATGGTGTCTGGCCTTCCTTTGTCCTGACTCTCCGGCCACAGCAATGCCAGAAGCCAGCACAGGATTTTTCGTTTGTGTTTCTAAGGGGAAGACAATCCAACTCCATTTTGACTGGGAGAAGTCAGACCAAGTCTGTGATCCTGCCCGCTCCCGAGGGGAAACCAAATCCCACCCCGCATCTCCCGAAGTGGATCTTTTCTTTAAGGAATGCTCCAGACTTCTGCAGCTCCTCTGCAAGCTGTGGTTGATTCCCAGCTATTTAATCTATTGGCAAAACATTTCTTTGTAAGTAATAAAATATTTAAATCGGTTAAAGAAATCTTCCCTTGCCGACAGGCAATGTTAAGATCGGTATATGCGGCTCAAGGAACGGTTTTGATGATTTAATTTAACTGCTTTGGTTTCGGACACCTTGCTGGTTTTTCCCCTTGAACACCAATGATCCGCATCCCGCCCAGAGGCTCACGGGCTTCTGGGGTTTGCGACTCCGGATACCCAGATCCGTAGCCAGAAAAATTAAATAAAATTACCCTCACGGCCGGTCCCACCGCTCCCTACAGTCACATCCCCAAAGCTCATTTATTTTGGACGGGGAGAAAGAAAAAAGGGAAGGTGCTGGGAGAGAAGCCACAGGGGCGCCGGGGATCTCCTGTGGC